AACTTACACATTTGAAAATATTCATTGTTCTAGTAATAAGGGCCCTTTTCCGCTCTGCTAGTCTAATCACTTTTCAGGTATAGGGTAGTGTCCCCTCTGGGCTTACAAGTTCCCTCTAGGGGCCTTGCTGAGAGGTACCCTCACAGGCACTTACGAAGCCTTGGGTATCAGGCAAGGCAGATGAGTCAGAGCTGTGGATGCAGTGACACATAGCTTCCCCTCAAGGGTAGACTGGCTATTTGCCTTGACTCCTTGCCATGGTTCCTTTTTGTCTGCCATCCCTGGGCACTGACTAGCAAGGGTCATTCAGAGGCTCCCTCAGCTCCCTTTCCCCTTTTCCAGTCATCTAGTTTCCACCTGGACCATCTGCAGACTCCCTAAACTTGAGTCCATGGTTCTTCTTGTTATATCCCCCTAATTATTCCAAGGCTTTCTGGAAGACAGTAATTGCTGATTAAACCAGAGTCCAAAACCTTAGTGAACAAACATGCCAAACAAAAAAGTTCCCTTCCCATTCATAGAGGGTAGGGAGGAGATAGGTGTTTAGAAAAACAATGTAAGTTCTTTCAGAAAAAATTAAAAAGGAATTTTGGTTGAGTTTCTATTTAAGAAAACAAGAAACTACACAAAAGATTAGAAGAATAAATATTGCCAAAATCTTTATAAATAGAGACAACCTCCAAGAGGGGGTTGAGGAGTAGTAAATCAGTGGTCTTTAAACATTTTTGCTCATATACATCAAATATTGTTTATCCTCTTACATAGTTCTAGGTTAACATCTAAAATTTTTCATAAGTTTAAGTAGTTTTAAATTTCCTGCATACTGTAAACATTGCCATTTTAAAGTAGAATGTTACTTTTTTTTTTTTTTTTATCCTCACCTGAGGACATTTTTCCATTTTTTGTTCAGATAGAGTGGGAGGGAGAGAGAGGAACAGAGAGAGAGAGAAACATCGATGTGAAAGGAACACATCGAGTGGCTGCCACCCGCACGACCTACCAGGGCCGGGGACAAACTGCAACCGAGGTACGTGCCCTTAGCGGAAACCGAACCCGGGTCTCTCAGGACCGCAGGCCGAAGCTCTAACCGCTGAGCCAAACCGGCCAGGGCGAATGTTACTCTTTTAATGAATCCAATGAAATCTAAATACCATAGCAATTATGCCTACTAATTAATTTTTCTCTTTACACTTATAACTCCATTCCACATCTTCACCCCTCAAGAATATATCCTAATTTATTGTATTTTATTATTTTAATATTTTATCAATCACCCTATTATATTCCTCTGCAATGAAAATATCTATACATTTCAATTAAATTTTTAAAATTTTCTATAACCAAAAGACTGTAAGTGCTGAAACATTTTCTTCTATATTGAAATATCTATATTTATTAGTAATAATTAAGCATTCAAAATAATGCAAAATATATTACAAATTTTTATAGTCATTAAACATGTAATTTTTTTTTACAATTGCATTTATTAAGTACCACTTCTTACAAGAATGAGACAGAGTTTAGCATTAATGTTTTCTCAATTTTTTATTTTATTTATTTATTTAGAGAGGAAGGGAGAGAGAGATAGAAACATCCATGTGAGAAACATCCACTGGCTGCCTCCTGCACGCCCCCTAATGGGCATTGAGCCTGAAACCCAGGCATGTGCCCCAACCAGGAATCGAACCGGCATCTCTCTGTCCATGGAACAATGCTCAATCCACTAGGCCACACCAGCCAGGCTCAACTTTTATTTTTATAAATTCTGAGAAAATGTCTTTACATTAATAGGTAGATGGAGCCGTGAGAAATTTTATTGTATCACTGTCACTTAATTATTTGAATCCCTTCTAATTTATAAACTCACTTAGTGATTTTGAGGTAATACCTTGTTGAAAGCTATTACATGTAAATCATCGGACTTGTAAAAGTATTTGTTATCCAGTCATTCTCAATACAGCCTAATCTTCTAAATATATAAAGAACTGACGTGAGTTGCCTGAGGTTTTTACAAATTATGCCTTTTTTTTTTTTTTGCAATCTGACAAATATATGGCTGTCGTGTAAGAGTTGGAAAATGAAACAGGGAGACACCACCTTAACTTCATCCCTTCACCAGCAAATCAGTTTTAGGGAATATTACATACTGATGCAAATTGAAGATTCAGAAAGTGGTGGCCTTAAAACTAAGTGTGCACCTACCCTCCAAAATTTCTTCGGGGATGCACATCTCAGTTTGAAGACCACTGATATAAACTTTTACATCATCTTATTGAATCTGATGAGAGACAGGTCAGCTCAGGATGGGCCTTGGTTGGGTCACTGTGCATTGGTGTCTATACCTTGGGAATATAAAACTGTGACCAGTACACTAGGGATAAAACAGCCAGTCCTCTTGGTTGTTTCATTTTTATAGATGGCTGATCTCATCCTTTATATTCTGTTCTATATATTTTTTATCAGTGGTAGTAACCTTAACTTTAATTTTGGGGTACTTATGTTGAGCCTATATATTGACTACCTAATGGAAATATTAAGCCCTACTTAAAAATGATTATGTCAACAGATGGTTGTTGGTGCCAATTCAACACCAGCAAGAACCCCCAATTTGGGGTGCTGGTGAAAAGAAGGAAACTTTATTCAGTGCAAATTGCTGTGAAAATAGCACAGCTGTACAACAGCTCTGGAGACAGGCCCCTCTCCAGCTAGACAGATCTGCCCTGCTCCTGGATTGTTTGCTGTGTTCTGCTCAGGAATATGGAATATTTAGAGGGATATATTTAGGGGTCTGCTTTGTACTGCACTGGTGACACATCTGTGGGTGTTTTTTAATTGACGAGAGAGAGAGAGACAGAGAGAGAGAGAGAGAGAGAGAGAGAGAGAGAGAGAGAGAGAGAGAGAGATTTGATTGATTCTTGTATGTGCCCTGGCTGGGGGTTGGTTGTTGGAGATCAGACTTGCTCTAACCAACTAAGCTCCCTGGCCAGGGCCACATCTGTGGATGTTTTAGCTCAGCCAGTCTTCAGTGGAAAGGGAAAGTATGCACTCCCAGCCTGAGTGAGCTGGTTTATATAAACAGAAGTCCCTGTCCTGGCCCCTGACTGGTATCCTCCTGAAAATGAGGACTCCAAATCTTCATAGTTTGATTGGTCCAAAAGGCACTATCCTGATTGGTCAGAATAGAGGCACTCTGATTGCTTGGAACTTTGCAGCTGTAATTGGATGAGAAAATTCTCAATTGGTTGAAATAAGATTCCAAGAACTCCTTTGTAACTGGCTCAGAGGGCAGAAATGCAGTGCAGACAGGCAGTTCAATGTAGAGGCTGGTAGTTCAGTGCATGCTTCTCCCTAAAGTGCAGTTTGTTGTCAGAGGCCCTTGTGCAGAAATGGCTGCTAGGGTATGTTTTTAAAAATTTGAGCCCAGTTAGCCACCAGGACCCCTTATTAGTTAGGTGTCTTTTTTCCCCCTTCAGATTTCACAATTATTGCCACTAAAAAGATGAGAAATCTTTAGAGTATGGTAAGGGTTATAAACAAATATATAGTTGTATGACACTTTACGATTTCAATGATGCAAAACTACATAACCTTCTAAACAACACTCTTAGTAAATATGTAAAAATGAAGAGTTGCCTTTTTTTTGGTAAAATGTCTTCAGTGTTGCGTGATTCAAAATAATGATGATTAAATTATTATGATGCTGTCAGATAATCTGTCCAATCTAATATTCTCCTTCTCCCAATAGTACTAAAAAACTGTGTGTGAGTTTAAGTTTCCCCCAAAAAGTGTTCAAGAGATTGAGGATCCTTTTTTCAAAAACTAATTTCTCATCGTGATCCATTATTCCCCAAATATATTTAAACTTTTCTTTAATTTAATGCATCCCATGTCTTAACGTGACGAATTCCAGAAGTTTATTTCCTGCTATATGAAACAGTAATCTCATTCATATTAACTTTTTAGCTTTCACTTCCTGGTTGTTCAGAGTTCAAGAAGTCGACCTTGCTGACTTGTACTGCTCTTAAGTTTCACCATTCCTCATAGCTTTTATAGTTTTTAAAGTCCGTATTAAAAAAAGCCATGTTTGGCAGCCTCCAAAGTAATCTTTTTCTCAAATTTGTTCTTTGTGGGGTATTTTTTGTTGTTTCTTTTTTGAGACCTAACTATGAGCTCGGTATATTCTAGGGCCCGCAAAGGAAGGAGAGAACAGGCTAGTCCAAGGGAGTTTATGTGCGTGAGAGTAGTAATGATTACGCCCCCCTGGGATTCAAGGCAGTGGGACCCAAAGGTTTCCCGAAACAAGCGCTCAGAAGGCTGAAGAGCTGAGGAGCGCGCGCGAGGTCCGCAGCCCCTCCCCTGACCTCCAGCTGCCCCGGCACTGCGTGGGCCAGCCCTTTGGGGCACTCTGTCCACCCACTCGATGCCCTCGCTCGCCCGCGCGCCTCACGCCACACGCAGGCGCGTCCTCCGCCGGGCTTGTGGCCCCGCCCCTTTCGCGCCGGCCCGCCCTGCCGGCCGCCCCGCCCCTAGGCGGTTGCTCGCGGCAGCCGCCGCCCTCTCCCGGCCCAATGGCGCGGCTGCCGCGTCAGTGATGTGAAGCTTTGCTCAGGCTCGTCCGGCCCCGGGCCCGCAGCCCATTACACCATCCGCCGCGGCAGTCGCTGCAGCCGCCGCAGCCCGCGCAGACTAAGAGGGCGGGAGGCAGCTCAGCGTGGCGGGGCGGGGCGAGCGGCGGGCCGGACTCATTCCTGTGGGGCGCGGGGCATGGAGGAACTGTGCGGCCGCAGGCGGAGCAGGGCGGCTCAGGCGGCGGCGAGGACAACGGTTTCAATTTGAAGGGGGCGGCCGGAGCCCGAGCGGCCAGCGGCGGCTGGAAGGACTAGCCCACGGGCAGGTAGTGGCGGCGGCGGCCTGCCCGAGCCCGGGCCGCGGCCTGAGGCGCCCGCGGGGAGGCCGGGGCGGGAAGGGGAAGGAGAAGGAGGGCGCCCCGGGCAGCTGAAGGTGGCTGCGGGCTGGAGGCCACAGGCTTGTCGGCCCGCCGGGAGGGAGGTCGTGGTCGATGGAGGACCTTGAGGAGGGGCTGCCTGTGTCTGGAAAAGGTAGAGGTGAAGGTTCTGTAGGGGCGGCCGTAGTTTGGGGACCTGCGATCTCTTGGGGGTGCGGGGATCAAAACGGGGCGGGCGAAGTTAGCTGAAAGGCGGCCGGATTTCCTGAGAGCCTCCAGCAGTCTTAAAGGAAAGAGGACCTTTCCGACCAGGGTTTGGCGTTGGCTGGCAGTGGTTTGTTGTGTCTGACTTTGTTCGTCCACGAAACCCGTTCTGGCCACGGTGAGGCCTTCCAGCCTCGCGCCCTTGGTCCGCTCTCCTCTGCAGATGTGAGAAAGCAGCAGTTCCGAACCCGCGTCGTGTGTGGCTCTCGGTGTACTCTCCCTGGGCGTGTGCAGAACAGAACTAGAACTGAAGCTTGGCTAGTCAGAAGGCCAGCTAACCGGTGGCCTGTAGTGTTTATAAATTTAAAGAGAAGAGACCGCCTTCCGCCAAAACATTTGGGTCTGTGTGTACCTTTTTGTATTCTCCTTTTTCACTTTGGAGCTTGGGGGCGGGGTAGTCCCTAAAGTATGGCTTTTCCTCCCTTTCCACAGGAGTAGAAATGAAGAAAAACCAAAATAATGTTTTTGCCTTTACCTACGGAAAATTAAGAACTGCTACTTTTTTCCCTCTTTTCTCCAGTTTGGTGCTCCAGTTATCAGATGTTGGAAGGCAATAGGACAGAACATACTCTCCGTGGTTTTTTATCCGTCCTGGAATTCAGTGATTAAAAGTGAACTTTGGTTCCTGTAGCTCTCTGTCCATAGAGTTAAGCTGGAGCTTTGCTTTGAGGGATAAATAAAGCACAGCCTCTCACCTGGACATAAATGGATCTAAAGACAGCAGTATTTAACGCAGCTCGGGATGGCAAACTCCGGCTTCTCACCAAGTTGTTGGCAAGCAAATCCAAAGAGGAGATTTCCTCCTTGATCTCTGAAAAAACAAATGGGGCCACGCCACTCTTGATGGCGGCCAGGTATGGACACCTTGACATGGTGGAGTTTCTCCTAGAGCAGTGCAGTGCCTCCATAGAAATTGGGGGCTCGGTCAATTTTGATGGTGAAACCATTGAGGGGGCTCCCCCTTTGTGGGCCGCTTCTGCAGCAGGACATCTGAAGGTGGTTCAGTCTTTGTTAAATCATGGAGCATCTGTCAACAACACGACTTTAACCAATTCAACTCCTCTTAGAGCTGCCTGTTTTGATGGCCATTTGGAAATTGTGAAGTACCTTGTAGAACACAAAGCTGATTTGGAAGTGTCAAACCGACATGGGCATACCTGCTTGATGATTTCATGTTACAAAGGACACAAGGAGATTGCTCAATATTTACTTGAAAAGGGAGCAGATGTTAACAGAAAAAGTGTTAAAGGTAAGTTCCACTTCTTCATTTGAATTTTTTGTTTACCATTATTTTCTGGAAGTTTGATACATAACTATAAGCTATGGTGTTGAGTAAGCCATTATATAACCTTGTTGTTTCTCTGATATTTGATAATATTGAACAAGAGTGTTAAAAAGACCTCTACTACTATGTTAAGCAGCATTTTCTGTCTCTTATGTGGAGTAACTTTTAATTGCTGGGAAATGGGTTCTTAAAAGTTATAGAACATGTTAGTTGAAGTTGAATCTGAGCCCTTAGCTTGTATTTAATCTTCAGAATATACTTCAATGTAATATATTTTTCTTAGCTTTAATATTTTTAGAACACCCTTGGAGTAGAAACTGCTATATTTAGTGAATCATTTTCTTGTTTATCTTAGGTAGGCATTTATTTTGTTGCTGTCATGGAAGGCTAGGCCAAACTGACCTGGAAGGATTAATATAGATGGAAAAAGAAAACTCTGTTCCCTTATTCCCTATTTACTGTGTGGCCAATAGAAAATCTTTTTATATAGAACATGTATTAAATATAGCAAGAAAGAAAACAGGTTTTTAAAAACTGCTAACAGTACTGAGAGCAAAACAAGGATTAGGTTAAACAAATGGGATTTGTTGACTAGCAACAATGTAAACAACCTTTGTCCAGAAGAGTTAAGGTTTACAATGGAGTATAATTTCCAGCCATTGTAATACATGTAAAGCAGCAAATGATAGTTTAGAGTTTTTTTAATTCTTAAAAAAAAATATATTTTTATAATATAATTTTGATACGTGAAAACCTATTATTAAACATATTTATATATACAGCAGCAAAATAATTCACTACCTTATTTTAAAAAACTATTAAAACTTAAAAGTACCATACATACATGATAAAAAAATTCAAACAGTACAGATTGGTTTACAGTGTCTATAATGAAAATTAAGTCTAGTCACCCCTGATTTACAGACCTCCAACCCACCGGCAACCACTATTTACAGTTTTTTTGTGTGTGTCCTAGAGATAGTTTGCAAATAGAAGTATATTTCTCTGTATCAATCAATCTCACCTTTCCTGTTAGTTGATATATATATATAATATATATATATTTAATCTTTATTTATCTTGAATGTCATTCAATTCCAACACACATAGCTACCTCAGTCTGATTCATAGCTGCACGGTACTTCATTGTACATAATTTATTTATCTAGTCTCTATTGATGGACAGTTCTGTCACATCCAATACAAACAATGGTGCTGTGAATATCCTTGAACAAAAGAATTGCACACTTGTGTGAAAATAACTGTATTAATACCTATAGGTGGAATTGCTGAATAAGAGTAAATGTTCATTTATCATTTGAAATAGTGTCTGATTGCCTTTCAGAGATGCTAAACTACACAGTTATGGGGTATATAGTTACTATATATATTTGTTAAAGTTAGTATCACCTTTTTAAAAAAGATCTGTTATAAAATGAAGCAGGTTCATTGTAATTTTTCTGAAAATTTTTTCCCCAGAGGAAATATAAAAATATCACAAAGTCGAGATGCTTAGAGATAATCCTTTCAAAGATGTTTCTGAATTTGTGAAAATATATATATATACACATATACACACACATATATACACACACATATATATAATTGATATATATGCATTTTTATGTGCTCTTCTATAACCTGTTTCTAGTTTAATAAATGTTATCTTTAACAACATTAATTTTAGCTCTTTAATTTCAGTAGCTGCATATTCTACTGATGGAGTTTTATGTCGCTTCTAGCTTTTCGGTATGATAAAATGTTTCTGTAAGCATTCTTTCTTATGAATGTTTTCAACTGTTCCTGATTGTCTTTGAGATAGGTTGTAGGGTCAGAACTAGGGATGCTTTGAAATCATAACTAAAAGAGAGAGGGTTAGAAGATATGGCTGCTTGTTTAGGCTTGTTGGATTTTTTTTGTTTCTTTGTTTTGGGCTTTTTATTTATTAGCCTAATGATGGACAGATTGTTGTTCATATATTTAAGTAAAATTGGGGGATATTTTAAACTCTTAATATGTCATTGGAGAGATGGTACTGGTACTATTTCCCTTGTGTTTTTCAAAGCTGCTTTATATACTCCTGGAGATACAATATTTGAGAGAACTATACTATAAATAACTCATTTTTGTCTGAGCATTTTCCTTAATAAACTGTAAATAGTATTTAATTTGATTACCTTTGCTATTTTAGAAGAATATTCTTTTTTAATTACTATCATCATATAGCTGTGTATGTGAGGATGTGTCTACTCCCTCTTTTGGCCAATAGTCTGCTTATTCTAGAGTCATTTCCACCCCCAGTGTCAGTATCAGATATTTATGTCTCTAAAAAAATATACACAGACCCAATTTTATGTACATACATATATGTGTAATGTGTGTGTGTGTGTGTGTGTGTGTATCTCACATATACTTCATATCTCACCTTTGCATGGTGTATTGTAATTTCGATAATGATTTTTAATGATTGTTGGGGCAGATTAAAGTACATTGCACTCTCCCCATCTCTAATCCTGAAATTTCCATTCTTTGATAATCATTCTCATTGAGTCTTCAGATTTTTTTATGGGTTAAGGGGTAATAAGAAAGCAGGGATCAGTTGAAACTGAGGCAGGAACACTGGAGAAAGATCTGATAGAGCATCAAGAAGAATTTGTTCCCCACATTTTAACCCTCATCCAAAAAAGGGAAAAGATTGGTAAGACTAGAGATAAAAATGGAATAATTTCTTTCTTATTTTTTTAAAAAATTATTTTGTTGTTGATTATTTTAGAGGGGAAGGGAGAGAGAGAGAGATAGAAATATCAATGTGAGAGAGAAACATCAATCGGCTGCCACCTGTATGCTTCCTACTGAGGATCGAGCCAGAGTCCTGGGCATGTTCCCTGACAGGGAATTAAACTGGGACCTCTCAGTCCATGGGACAATGCCTAATCCACTGAACCACACTGGCTGGGCAAAATGGAATACTTTCTTAGGAAATTTTATATGTCAGCTGTTGGAAATGGTTCTGAAGAAAGAAAATGCCAATAGATTATGCTTGGTCTGCTTAAATATGAAATGTATGTGACTTCTACATTCCATTATTTTTAATAGGCTTTTGGCATTTTGAACATGTTTTAACGTAAGATGGAATTCATTCATTAATTGAGAGAGCATTTATTGAGTCCCTTGGTGTGCCAGGCTGTTAGACTTGGGATATACAGAGATGAATGAAACAAGATAGGCAGTCCTTGATTCCCTGTCCTAGGGAAGCTCTTGGTTTGATCGGAGAGGCAGGTTCATAAGCAGATACTTAAACCACAGTATGGTAAGTGCAACATTAGTGCTTTCTTCTGTTAGATATTTGGAAATACTTTATCCCTAAACAGCTCATTACCTGAGGGGACAGTGGGTGGTTCCTTCTTTTCCCATGACATTCAAAGAGGGGGTGACTGGGACTTTTAGATATTTAGAAATACTTCTCCAGTTTAACACAGTTGATTTTTGAGACAGGAGAGGGTTGGTTGCTATTTAAAACTATAGACACCAAATCAGACGTGATTACACAGGCCAACCTTAGAGTTGTCGCATTGATCTCAGCCCTTTATAGTTATAGTCATCTTTGCTTTTGTTTTTTGTTTTTTGTTTTTTAAACTTAGAATAGGACTTTGCAGATTTATAGTAAAGTTACTTAAAGCTCTTCAACTCTGCTTTTATACTAAAATTCAACTTTAATTGAGCTGCTGAAAGTGATTGAGTGCTACAGACCAATGGAACAGCTCTGAGTTGGGATTGGGGATGCTGGCCCTAGAGGATACACTGTTCTCACACGTGGATCAGTCATTTTAGACATCCAAGGGAATTATGTAAATTGGTAATAAGATAATTACTGTGCATTTTCTGTAGGCAAGGCATTGTGTTGGACATTGTGCGGCTATGAGAAGATATAGGACATCACATTTGGTAATTGCTAAGGAATAGTATAAATCTATTTTGTAGGATTTTATAAACGTATACTTACTAGAAGGCTTAATGGAGAAGTTGAACTGGACCTTGAAAGGATTGTTGGGATTCAAATCTGCAGAAGGAATTTAATCAATTTTTTAACGCTTAGGAAACAGCATAAGAAAAGACAGATTGAGAAATGTGCTTAGGCCCTGGCTGGTTTGGCTCAGTGGTTAGAGCATCCGCCTGTGGTCCAGAGACCCGGGTTCAGTTCCCGCTAAGGGTGCATACCTCCGTTGCAGTTTGTCCCTGGCCCTGGTTGGTCATGTGGGTGGTGACCACTCGATCATGTGTCCCTTTCACATCGATGTTTCTCTCTCTCTCTCTCTTCCTCTCCCACTCTATCTGAACAGAAAATGGAAAAATGTCTTTGGGTGAGGATTAAAAAGAAAAGAAAGAAATGTGCTTATAGGGTCCAGGAATTGGAAAGTAGGTGTACTGTTTGGACCAAAGGTCACTCAGGTCTAAATTATAAAGGACATTGACTTCTAGGTAAAGGTGTTTGATTTTATAATTTTTTAAAATATGTTTTTATTGATCGTTTTTAGAGCGAGAGGAAGGGAGAGAAAGACAGAAACATTGATGTAAGAGAGATACATTGATAGGCTGCCTATTGCATACCCCCCATTGGGGATTGAGCCTGCAACCTGTGCCCAAACAGACAATCGAACCGGGACCTCTCAGTCCTTGAGAAGATGCTCAGTCCACTGAGCCCCAAACCAGCCGGGCTGATTTTACTAGAGTGGTAAGCTACTGAAAGTTTTCAGCAGAGGAATAACTGGGATTTTTTAAGAGAAACCCATCTAACTACATTCTAATTAGCTTTTTGAGGCAAGAGACCTGGTGTTTGTATCCATGCATTAGAAAGAGTATCTGGCCCATAGTGAGTATTTAGGAAATAGGCTTGTTGAATGAATGTCTTGGGATTTAAGAGAGGAAAGATTATAAGCTCCTTGATAGCAAGGACTGTGTTTTGT